CCACAATTAATTAATTTTACTGTTTTTTTATGAATATACACAACTAATATTATTTTGATTAATATTAAACAGATATTTCGTTATATATAAATAATATGTTAAATAAGTTTAAAATGTTATTTAAATGAATTTGAATTTTAAAGTTTACGTGAATTTATAAAATTCTTTTTGTTGTCTTATTTTGTATTAATTAGTTATTTATTATAATAGGTTTTGAGATATTAAATATATTTTTGTTTTGAAATTAGGACAAATATTTTAAATTTTAGATCCACGTCAATTCATAAAATTGTTTTTGTTTTATTTATTAAATTGAAAACTTGTATGTAATTTAAAACATTTAAAGTTATTTAATTATAATTAAAAAGAAATAAAACTTTGGGTTAAAAATACTCACTTAAATTTTTTGTATCACATAATTAATTGCTATAAATATTTTATCAGTTTGTTTTCTCAGACTATAAATATTTTATCAGTAATACAGTATTACTACAACTACATTAGTTTACTATGGAAAGTAATTAATTAATAATAGGGTAATTTTTGTTAAAAATTACATTCAAATTTTGTATTTTAAAACTTGGTAATATTTATTAATTTACGTTTAATATAAAAATTATACTAATTGCACCAAAAATAACCGCCACCCCTAAGATTATACGTTAGAAACTATTTTAATACAGTATTGTGTAATATCTGAGAAAATTATATGCTTTTATGATTAATTTTAATATTAAAAACAATATTAGTTTTGTGCAAAATACATATTTACGTCATAGGATTAAAATAAAGCACATGCTAATATTGTAATTCATTATTTTGAGCATGATTAATGTTATAATTAACAATTAATAATACATTTTATAATTAATTAACTACTAAATAAAACATGTTTTAAAAATTACATAATATGTAACAAGGTTATGTCCATAGTACAATTTTTGACTGAACTTTTATAAAATAATTTATAAAATTTTGATAGCACTAACAGCTTGCTTTGCACTATCTTAGAAATATTTAAACTTATTTAACATATTATTTATATATAACGAAATATCTGTTTAATATTAATCAAAATAATATTAGTTGTGTATATTCATAAAAAAACAGTAAAATTAATTAATTGTGGCTAAGTTGCTAGTTCCTGGATAAAACATAAATTTCAATGACGTAATATACTATTTTAATTGTCTATTCATACTTAATTTATTATTATAAAACAAATGAAATCATTTACATTAATCAATATTACACATAAGTATACATTTTAAAAGTATAAAAAGAGTAAACATAAATCTGCTTGTATCAATAATTATTTGTGTGAATCAGTTGATTAACAAAAATTAATTGCAACAACAAATACTAACCATAATGTTTTATAGCAAAACATTTTACATACCAGTAACAATAGTTATACTGTATTTATCTGGCGAGGGGTTGGGTGTGAAACATCAGCGATGCGGCAATTCTGATCCCATTATCCGTGTAATAGGCGGCAATACTGCCCGCCCCGGTGAGTGGCCCTGGATGGCTAAACTTATTATGCACCATGTATCGCCGAGCATGCAAATTACTCAAACGAGCCAATGTGGTGGTTCATTGATTAACAATGAGTGGATACTGACTGCCGCCCACTGTCTTAATAATTTCGCCAACGGAGATGACATTACGTTTATTGACGCAACTCTTGGTGATTATGATAGGGATGTTGACCAAAAAAAGGATTATAAAGGCCTAATCAAGGAGGTTAGTAATATTTGTGATTAGATAATTATTATCATATATTCTATCAATAAAGATTTATACAGTAATTGAATTGTACTAGTTTTATTTGTAATGTACATTTTTTGAATATTACTTTGTTATACCATTTCCACTATAAAAATTCATGGGATGCAGTTCATTTAAAGTACAATTAAAAATTTTAAAATAATATTTCCTTATTTTTAATTTGGATACTAATTATATAATGATTTATGAAATTTAATTATTTAGAGACGTTCATCATGGTTACGACAATAAAACTCATCACAACGATATCGCCTTGCTTAAGTTACATGAACCACTAGATCTGGAAGGTATGGGTAACTTTCTCGAGCCCATATGCTTGCCCGAAACTGGCGAACAAAGGCGTGTGGGCACGTTGTGCGTGGCCACCGGTTAGGGAAACACCATAAGCAATCAAACGAGCATTTCAGAAACGTTGCGGCATGTTGAATTACCCATTGCAAATAATACTTTGTGTGCTCAAAAGTTTCCAAGTATTCAATATTTTATACATTACATTTACGCTTAAATATATCTGCTTTCTCGAATCAAAATATAATTTATTTAACTTATATCGCCCAATATATAGCCTAGATACTATAACCAATATTTGAAATATTGAATTGTATAGAATTGATCGACCCTATTGTTTGACTTTACCCACCTACCGCATTATAAGGTTTAATTTGTAATTATTGCTAATAACTATGGTTATGGTGTATTCCATAGGGTTAACATGGGCACGCTCTAACACAGGTTTCTACAGTTTAACAGCTTAAGTCTATGACATATGGTTGACATTCTAATCCAATTTTTAAGCAATATCTGAATTGTAGTTAAATTATAAATATCAATTTGGTTTTTGTTTGATATTATTAAATATAAATCATTCCTATTCTATTTTAGCAAGTAAATACTCATTGTATATGTAAATAATGTACATTTTTACTTCTTTTTAATCTAGATAAATTTGATCCCAATACTGATTATTGCGTCGGAAATGATGTGGATGCTGAATGTGTCTATAAGGGTGACAGTGGCGGTCCCCTCAATTGCCAATTGGCCACCGGTTTTTGGGTGGCAGATGGTGTTGTGTCTTATGGAACTAATCTTGGTTGCGGAATGGACAGATCACCTAGCATTTTTACCCGCGTGTCTGAATATATACCATGGATTAAATCAATTATTGGGCCAAAATTTTAAATTGTTTAAATTTTAAAAATTTAAAGTAATTAAATTTATGATTAACTGATTCTGGTATAAATATTTGTTTAAATAAAGAGCATTATAAAATTATTGTTTATTATTAAATTTGTCCGCAACCGACACATACACACGGCGTTGATGTGAATAAAATGATAGACCATTGCCTGAAAAGTGTGGACAAAACTTGTACACCGCCTATGAAGCGGGCGTTTTATAAATATTTTGACAATTTATTAATGTAATACTTGATATATGTGTTTGCTCAACAAATGGCCACAACTGTTGGCTATTGACATAACATATACATGTACTTTAATAAACTTAGCTTTTACAAACTATCAAATACATCCTATTAGTACTGAAGTTTTTATTTACCGTAAATCATTTACTAACAGTTTTACCCTAATGTTAGACCGCAGTCTTTCTGAGTTCTGAGCTAACGAGGAGAAACAACATTGAACTTTTTATTATTTGTAATATTTTTAAATTTTATTATTTTAAAAACGGTGGTATAGTTTGAAAATAATTATAGAAACAATAATTTTATAAACAAAAATGAATTTGTAAACATTTTTTAGCGACAAAGATTCTTGATTTAGTTGGTCTTCAATTCAAAAAATCCTACAATAATAAGTTGCTTATATTGATGATAGATTGTATATTTTTATTAGTATAATAAATTATCATATCATTGATAATACATTGGGTGTATGTGCTGGGTATTTGGGATTTGGTTGATAACATAGAGTATTTGACAGAATAGATATTTGACTATATTATATTTGTTAAATATTTGTATACTATGGGTTCAAATAATTACATAAAATTTTCTAAATTTATTTTAATAAATTGATAAATTCAATACAAATTACGAAACTATAAATTAATTTGCGTACAGTACAGATAAATGACTATTATTAATAGAAATTAGAATTTATGTTTGGTAATTAAATAAATCATATTGCAATTAATCATTACACTCAAAATCGCTTATATTCGAATTAAAATAAAGTTCCTTGGTCACTCCAAACATTTCAATTTCAGGTCTCTGTTTACATCTGCTGTCCATTAACTCCTCTTCCATACGGTTTAGTGTCTGAAAAATACAAAAGTAATTATAATCAAAATTAATTTATATAATCACTAAAAATAACACATACCATAACAAACATCTCAATCAAACTTTTATATGCCGAGTACTGCGCTATTTTATGACTAAATGTTTGACCGAATTTACTAACGCAACCAATTTGACCATGCTCTCCATCAGAATTATACCACATAGGATACCCTAGTTAAATAACATTTAATCTTAATGTTACATAACTTATGTATAAATTTACTCTCAAGACATGCATATACAGTATAACGTGAGTATTTTCACTATCGTTGCCAATAAATTCCGGATCAATCATGGTTAATCTATCGATAAGTGGCGGTTCATTTATGCCCAATACATGACCATTACGTTTGGGACAATAATCACGTTTATCAACGATCGCAATGTACTTATTAATCAATATTTCTGTTTAATTAATGAATATTTATTTAATTTTAAAATGTTTTGTGTGCTTTTATAAAGTTTACTTAAACGATCGCAGTTGAAAATAAACACCTTGGTTTTTTGGTGCAATGTGGGCGCACGAGTCCAGCCAAATGTGGCCACTATTTCACTGAAAGGCATGCAATCGCTGTTATTTGGCGGCCACTCATTGTCTGCGTCGGTTCTCCAGCCTATGATCTGCTCGTTATATCCATCGCCGATAAAACATCATAATAAAAGTTGACCAGATCGTCCCTGGTCAGATTCCAGCAATTTATCAAACATGTATATAATTTCTTATCAATGCTTTTGATATAATCGGCACTCCTTTTGCAATCGTAACCAAACATATAGTACGGCTCGAATTTTAGCCTTTTATGAGTTGTAGCACCGGTTGTCGGGTCTATACATACTGTGCCAGTGATGGCCACACATATGATTGCAAACACAGTGTATATCATTGTCTCTCTGTTTCTCATCACTTGTTTATTACAATTGGTTTTCAATTATAAATTGATTTTCAGTTTAAAATAGTATTTAAAGAATTTTGAAATTTACGTTAATTTATAAAATTCGTTTTGTTGTCAAATACTATATTTAAAAATAACTATAATTTAAAATTTTGAATGAAAATATCTTTATATAATTTGATAAAAAATTACAAAATTAATAGAAAATCTAAACAAAACTAAAACATTAAAATAAAAAATATAATAATTTGATAACAAGGACTATTGCAAAATGTACAAATAAAAAAATTATATGAAATTAAATTTAGGCAATTTCTTTTCATCAATATAATCCAGGAATTGGGAAAAAATTGGTGATAACTTTGCGTTGGGTCAAAATTTGGCAAATATTAACCGTATCGATATTTGTCACTTCAGCATTACAACTATGTAATTAAATAGATAATTATATACATTTAATATATAATTTATATTAATTAACCAAGTAATTACCGATTGTGTTGTTTGACAATTTGCTGGAAATAATTGTAAATAAATTTATAATTAATTGATTTAACAATAAATATAGGAATTCTCAACTTGAGAACATTTTTCATCCGTGAAATTAAATTCGCGTTTATTTTATCATTATTTTAACCAAAAATATTATTGAATTCATTTATTATATTTTTAATATCTGTATAATTATCTGTATTCTGCAACCCATTAATTAATACTTGAATTTGTTCAATATTTACACCAAAGTTATTGAAAAGAAATGCCGCATAATTAATGTTTTTGGAAATATTTCTGTGAAATTATTAAATAATTAATAGATATAATTAAAATAAAAATTAATACATACCTAATATGCTTTAATTGTATTTCAAACAATTCACTAGCAATTTGTCCAATTTCATTAATTTTACAGTGATTTGAATGTGCTACATTATTGTCGTAATATAATTTCATGCATTGGTTATCAATTATTGTATCATTATTTATAAATATGTATTTAGGATTTAGTGAAATGTTTTCAATATTTATATCCAAAGCAATCACTGCTTGAATACAATGTAATAATTGTCTCAACAATTGCTGTGAAATAAGGAAATCAATTGAAATGATTGCCAACGAGTGATGGGTTTGTGTCCCAAATATTGTAGAGACCCAAATGGTCTCTAAGGTTCGGGTCTGGTCAGGTCATTCTCACACAATCACACAATTGACAATTAAAATAAAGTTTTATTCAATTCAAAAGCAAAAGCATTACAAACTGTGATAATAATCACTAATCATTAAAATACATTTTAAGTAAAACTCTGTGATAAAGTCATTATTAAAGCCAAGCGTTAATGCCGGCGACCAATACTCAAGTGATTGCAATCAAGCAATGTCTGTGATATATGTATCGATAGGTATTACATAATGTGTGTCAATCATGTGAAGGGATAGGAATTTGTATTACAATTCATTTCATAAACATTCATTTGTGAACACATTATTGTTTTCAGATAAGTCTTTAAACATTACAATATTCAATCAAAACAATTAATTACATTACATTCCTACAAATCTCCCTCTGCTTTAGGTTAACATAAATCGGGAAAAATTAATATAATCAATAATAAGATAAACATATAATTGTTTTGTATTTAAACAATAACATAATAAGTATTGACTTATTTGAAAAATGAAAATTTAACATTATAAGCATAAAATCTAATTTAGTGTAAATTAAAACTTAATTGAGACCACTGTTGCGGTAATCGTCCTTATGATAACAGTTTTGTTTACGGAGATATATGCGTGGCGTGTCATTATCAGAAATTGCGTTGATTAACGGGATCTTTGACACGGTTGATTCATTGAGTGACTCTTTCATTGAACTCATTTTTGTTTTGGATGGAGAGGCGTATGTCCATAACTTATCCGTTGCTTGTTGTTTATCACTTCGCTTCTTAGTCAATTTTTTATGTTATAAACATTTTCAATCAATATTGGTGATTTATTGTTACTTATCATATCCCATGTAAACGCCCGTCCATTTGATGCAATGGCAAATGATTGCCAATGAGTGCACATAATGTCAACAATTTTGTATTCAACGGGAAATTGTATTTCAAGTGGTTTTTCTTCTTTCATTGAATTATATATTCATTGATATACCCGTCCATCCGATGTCAAAAGTATTATTTTCCACTCAAAACATGATATTTTCTCAATACGTATATCATGTGAATTACATAATAACAATTTATGCGGTTTATAATATGTTTTTTCAAATAATGGTTTATATAAACCCCACGAGAATATCTGGTGATTGATGTCTAAAGCCAATCCAATGAATATTGTATTGAAAAATTGCTGTATATTTTGATGACTTAATTGCGGCACTTTTTCGGGTTTATCTATGGGTGAGTTGTGTCCCAACCCTAACAGTCCATATCTATTACTGCCCAACCCATAGACCCGATCATCTTTTGTAACAAATAAAATGTTTTTACCTTTCTTACTCGCTTGCATGTGAGCACCATAATCATTAAATATATAAAATAACTTTATTTCCTGTTTCACTGTTTGGGGAATTTTTGCACAAATATCAAAATTTTCTAACATTGAAAACATTATTAAACGCTGCAAAGGTTAAATCGTTAAACCTTACTAAATCATATTTTGTATTTCACGATTTAAGCAAAATTACACAATATAAATTATTTACCACATAAACTATAAGCATATTTGTTTTAAAAATAATTTATTATTATTCGGCATAAACAAATTGAATGTACAGTTAAAATGATTTTATTACTGGTATTAATTTTGATGATAATCTGTTTTTAATACGTTATATAAGTTTTATTATTATTGTTAATGTTTTTTATAAGATACTTACATTTTTATTATTTATAGATATTAAAATAATAAATGGTATGTTAGGTATATGTAAAAGTATAATAAAAGATTATATTTATATCAATAAAACATTACTTTATTTTTCATTT